AGAGCCAAAATCCAGGATTGAACGTACCATACTAAAATAAAGTGTTTTATACGTTAGTTCTTTTTGACGTGACAACGTCTTAAATTAGGTTGCGGCTGGGAGTCACTTATGAAAAAGTGTAACGCTCGGTAACGTTACGATGAGTTTAAGTTTACATGTACAATGTTTTAGTAAACAAAATATATTTCTATAGTTAAAATTTGTGCAATTCTTATTTTCATTCAATTCCTTGTTCCTATTGTGCAATTTAATTATATTCATATCAATAAATATTCTACCGAGAAAAAGACGTTGTCACGTAAAATCTTCGCCCGTAAAACCGACTTTACAGGCAACCATTTTTTTTAAATGGTTTACAGACCCGTAATAAAAAGCCAAGTTGTTTATATGATTTCTGAATTATATGGTCAAAGTGATTTCTAAAGGTCAATTTATTATCCATTATTATTCCTAGGTCTCTAATTTTTTCAACCCTATTTAGATTATGATCATTAAATTTGTAATCAAAAAAGATAGGGTTGCGCTTACGTGTATATGTTATAACAGAACATTTGTCTAAATTTAAATAGAGGTGATTTTGGGAGCAATAGTTAAATATATTGGATAATTCATTTTGGAATTCAATACAGTCGTTTACATTTTGAATAATTTTATAAAATTTTGCATCATCGGCGTAAATGAGTCTATTACAAGTTTTGGCACAGTTTTCAATGTCGTTTATATATAAAATAAATAGAAGAGGCCCCAAATGCGAACCTTGGGGGACTCCAGAGGGTACGATTTTATAGTTAGACATGAATCCCCGGATTGAAACTGCTTGGGAACGATTCGTTATATATGATTTTATCCAGCGAAATAAATCCCCGTGTATACCGGCCTCCCAAAGCTTTAAAAGTAATATATCGTGACTTATTTTATCAAAAGCCTTTGAGAAATCGGTATACACGACGTCCACCTGCTGATTTTTATCCATAGCATTCAACAAAAAATCAGTAAATTGAATTAAATTTGTGTCAACGGATCTACCGCGATAAAAACCATGTTGATTCACCGAGATATAATTACGAACCCCAAAAGAAATCTGATCAGTCACAATTTTTTCTAGTAATTTTCCAAAAATGCAAAGTTTAGAGATTGGTCTATATTGACTAATGTCGTTCCGTTTGTCATTTTTTGGTACAGGAGTAATAAGAGATTTTTTCCATTGTGATGGGAAAATCCCATCTGACACAGACTTACAAAAAATATATGTAATGGGTATGGTTAGCTCATTTGCACATCTAGATATCAGTAAAGGATGTACACCGTCTGAGCCGGCACCTTTTTTGGTATCAACACATTTTAGTAATTTGTGTACCATGTCTGAATTAATATTGACCGTACAAATATCTAGAGGGGCATTAGGCCTAGGTATATCAAGTTTAGGGAGAGTGAGTTCTGAAGGTCGTTGTATAAAAACAGAATTAAAATAATTGTTAAACATGTTACATATTTCGGTACCGTCACATGATGTTACGCCATCGTATGTTAAATTTTGAGGCAACCCAGACTGACACATTTTTGATTTAACATATGTCCAGAAAAATTTTGGATTAGTTTAAATTTTTTTTTCAGTATTGAGATAATAGGTATTACGACACTCATTTTCTAATTTTTGTGCCCTACTTCGAAGTAAAGAGAACGTATTGTAATCTAATGGATTACCGTAACGTTTCCATTTCCTGTGGTATTTACGTTTTTCATTAAGCAATTTGATAAGGGGTTTAGTCACCCAGGGAGAAAATTTGTAACATGATGAGACTTTTCTTAGAGGTACATGCTGCGAAATCAATTTATTGAGTTCACTATAGAAATGGTGAACTGCTGACTCCAAACTGTTACACTTGGCGAACTCATCTAACCAGTTTATTCTCTGAAGACCTTCAGTTATTGCATCAAAATCAGCCAAATGAAATAATCGCTTGCTGAAACTGGGATTAGTTTTAAATGGTGTGAAATTATTTATTACTATGTCTATTTCGATTGCTGGGTGATGGGTATCCTCAGGTACGAGTGGTTGAGAGTTTTGTTTAGTTATGCAATGTGTATTACAGAAAATCAAATCTAGATATCTTTTATTTTTATTTGGTATTGAGTTATACTGTTTTAGTTGTGCTAAATTCATAAAATCCGCAGTCAATATGGCTAATTGATCATCGTTAGTAAATATCGACATGCTATTTGTATTTTCATCAAAACACCAAGCACCGTTTGTCACGTTGAAGTCACCCAAAACAATAAAAATATCATCAGGATGTAAATTCATATAGTCGACGGTCCTATCGTAAAAAGTTGAAAGTCGATTTGAGTGGCTTGGACCGTGCGGTACATAAGTGATTATTATATGAAGAGTACTAGGTAGTGCAGAAGCGCGAGCAAGACAATCAGCTCGCGCGTATGCAGTGCGGCAAGACGCGTGCGCCGAGGCCGGGCGCAGCGGCACAGTGACATACAGCTCGTCGGCTACGTCCGGTGCATGCGGCGCATCGGCTGCCTGCACGGGACAGAGCTCGCGTCTTATCGCAACCATCACTCCCCCCCTCGGCCACACGCGCTCGCAATTTTGTCTCTGTCCCTGCGAAATACTATGAAATTATCATTAAAATATTCTTTGGTATTAAATCCACCAGTCAACCAAGTCTCTGTCAAACAAATTATGTCAAAAGTACACAGCATAGTTTTAGAAAGGAAATCAAACGACTTTGTTCGGAGACCCCTAACATTTTGATATGAAATTGATAATGTTTTTTGATTAGCCATTTTTATTTAAGTAATAATGAGTTAAGTTGAAAATGAATAAAGGCAAATTATTGTATGATAGTAAACAAAAATACCACCTGGTGCTTGTCACTGACCAACGGGTAACTAAATAAAGTGTATACGTTGTAATAAATACATTATTCACGTTTAATTCTATGGGTTTGGTTTCAAGAAAGAATATTTTTTTGGGTTCGACCGAATACAACACATCTCTCATCACCACATAATAATATACATTTTTAAATATAAATTTTCTTAGTACTTTCAAAATATAATATTTGTATATGAATAGGAACACAGATAATTTAATAAAGTTTACAGTGAACAACAACAACAACAAAGAAAGAATAATATTTTTTAGTTTTTTTGTAATGATATTACTCAAGACCGCCAGATCACAAAACAAAATATAGTAAACAGTCCAATGTAGTCATTTGATTTTGTTTAAGTCAACTTCATTAGATATATAAATAATTTTTGAACTTTCTGATTTTCTGACGAACAGTTTACCATCCTTCACCCAGGCAAATTTATAGCTATAATCACTGGCAGCAGCTCGAACTTTTTTGAATAACAACTTGTTCTGCGGGGTCAGATGTTCATTAACAAATATTGGTTTCGATGGTCCATCGTATCCGAGGTCTACTGTAGTGAGCTCGCGTCGAATTTTGCAGGCCGCCAAGAACTCATCTTTTCGTCTTTGCTGGGAGAAGTGTACTATAATGTTGGGTGGCATCTCGGAGCTCTTATCGGCGGTTGCGAATTTTCTTACTCGATGGATATTATCAATGTCATGTGGGGTTAGGTCTACGCCTATTTTTATAGATAATAATGTTATTATGGAGTGTAGGTTCTCACCTTTAGTCAAGGGAACGTTTGAAATTTCAAGGTTTTTCAAGCGACCCCGTTGGTCTTTCAATGCAAATTGACATTGCAAATCTTGCATGGTGTTGGATAAATCCTGCAACTTGGTGGTAACATTTCCTATCGACGAAGAGTTTTTTTCGAGGTTATTAATGCGCACATGATAAGCATCAATCCGACCGCTGATCTCCGTAATGCTCGCAGCTGATTGTTGTTGCTTCGAGTGTAATTCATCGATGGAAGATTGAAGCGATTTACAGGTTGTCTTGATGTCCGTAACTTCGTTCTTGATGTCGTCGACCATGGATCGAAAGTTGGCCATTTCAGTAGCAAATATGGTATTTATATTAGATGTAAAACTTTCTAATTTTGAGTTCAACTCATCTCGTAGCGAAACTATCGATATATTCAAATTCTGCGTCATGCGTTCCAATGCATCAGTAAAACAGTCATCAGGCTGCTTTCTTTTTCGGATGTTTACTTCGGGATGTTTGTCACAACTTACGCTGAGGTTAGGATTCGATGCACTTAAGTTCGGAGGTGACCGCGTAGTCATCGCGACAAACGTTAGTAACAAGCACAGCAGATAAATTGATACACGTCTCGCACCTAATGCGTTCCACGCACGATTATTATTATGACCCATTTTTAATAAATTATGTCCGTGTATAAAGACCGACATGATTCTTTACACCTTCGGTAATGTTCGTTGATTCCTGACGACGTTTGGCACGTGGCTCGTTTTTGTTTTGAATCTCAGTTAGTAATTGACACTTGAAGGTCACGCATTGTTTTTTGTGGTCCCCCCACGACAACGGCTAACTAGAGCCGAGGTCCGAGTCTCAGAGACGCCCTCTAGTTGAGCCGGCCCCCTCAGGTTCGAGTGGTCTAGAGGCTCCAGACGGAGAAAGGACTCCCCCCCGTGGGAAGACGCCATCCGCCTGGAATACCTCTAGAGGCACTCGCCAATTCTCGGCTGGAGGTCCCCTCAGGATCTCGCCGTCCCCAAACCCAGTGACGCTGTAAAGGTCACCTGCGACCAACAGCATACACACTCAAAAAAAAAAGCATTGTTTTTTGTGATATCCTGTGAAAAAGTGCCATCTCAACGCCTCATTTTATTTTAATTTAATATATGTACTATGTTTTTTTATTAAAATACATAAGTACATATTTTTTCACAAAACGCTTTGCTTATTATGACGTGTTTGTCAAATCCCTTCGATATCTTCCACTGTACCTTTACAAGTATTAAACATTTGAAATAGCAGTTACTTATAGTTATGTTTTAAGCATTTGATTGCTTTTATCTATAAGTATGATATAATATTCAACAGGTAACGTCTTGAAAGACAACCCAGAGTTCCGTTTATCCGTAATGCAAGCTCTAAGAAAATTGATCACTTGTTCCACTGACAATGAAGAAGATACCCAAGAACTGGCTAGATTCGCTAAGAACTATCTGCCTATACTTCTGAATATTTATATGTCCCCTGCTAAGGGGAGTAGTGCTGTAGGACAGAGACTGGCTGCTTTGGAAACAATACAGGTGGGAGATTTACTTTAAAACTTGTCTGACAGTGTGTTTGTGGTAGAATAAGGATCTTAATAATGTAAGCTTAAAGTTTATTTTAAATAATTTGGTTTTAATATATGTTTTATTGGAAGTTACAGCTATAAAATGGGTGTTTCATCTGATTGTATGATCTTTTATTATGTAAGCTTGGGATGTATTCTTAAAAACAATCAAAAAGATATAATTGTCTTATTTTTTTTGGTTCCTTGGCTTTTAAAAGCCAGTTACCACCGTTAAATGGTGTTTCATCTTGCTATTAAAGCCGTAACTTTTTATTAATTTGTATACTTTATGATTTCTTCCAATAAGCTATTTGAAAGTATGAAAAATAATGTACCAATTGTTGGTAACTGTAGTTAATGTAATAATATTAATTTATTTTTATTAATAATAATAAAAAGTACAAAATTAAGGATGTCTGAAAGAGGTTACAGTATAAATCGTACCTGTATATCAGGCTTCTATGATCTAAAATAATACATTTTATGATAAATAAATTAACAATATAATTAAAACAGAGTGAATATGAATAATAGCAGCGATATTACTATTCTGAAAGAACAAAATCTTAATAACTTTTCTAATAATCATTATGAACGCCATAAAAAATTGTAAATAACTTGAGATCGTTTTCTAAAACTTGTCAAATATAACCCTATTACAGCCTTATGTTTGAATTGTAACAAATACGTTATAAATTTTATTGTTTAGTAAAACTATACATAGTGTTTATAGCTGTTAACAGGATTGTTACCATGTACCTTGTTTTTCAAGCGCAATAAAAGATACATCTGCCAATAACATCTACCCGCAATTACTTCAGTTACTCCGTGATCATGGCGCTTGCAACAGTGCCGAAATATCTTAGACTCATAAAAAACAAGGTACATGGGTACATGGTAACAATCCCGAAATAGCTATAATGTTAGTGAACATGAAAGTTTAAAACAATATACATAGTTTGTTCTTTACGGGATATCTTGACATTAACGGCCAGTTTTATAAATTAATCTCCAGTAAAAATGATAAATGAAATACTGGTTCCTTTTCTTAGCAACTATTGATATATATGATTTTGAACAAATTCAAAATAACAAATGCACGCAAGTGTACTTTAAAACGCCTATCTTTAACTGAGAAAAGTTGGTTGAAATCATCCAACCCCATTGGAGTAATTTATCAGTAATTACCTCATTTTCTTTGCATCCGTAGGTCTATCTCACTATAAGCGACCAGTCGTTAAGGGAAGAACTGTTCAAGAACTCGTTGCAGCAACTTGAAACTTCCAAAGACAACCATTTCCAGAGAGAATCCATCCTAGACATCATCAGGTTGCTCGTACTGTATCAAAGCAGCGAGAACATAACCAATCTCTTTGACCAATGGGTGATACCTTTGTGCGAGACTGTTCTAGAAAATCCTAAGCAACTGAAAAAGGCTAGGAAGGAAAAGCAGAAGAGCCAGGCCATGGAAGAGGATAAACCGGAAGATGATAAACAGGATACAAAGAAGGAACTTAGGTAATGCTTCTGATAGACTTTGACACGAATGTTAAACACTTGAAGCCAACGAATTATAAATGACTCTCGTTCCAATTGTTGACAATACTAACGCGACACGCACACAGACAAAACGAAATTCTTTGACAAATCAAATATCTGCAAATGTATTCGGCTATCCATTCATTGGGTAAGATAATGTTCAACGGGAATCGCAACCAATCCCATGATCGGCATTTTGATCGCAGTTTTTTCGCCCCACATTTGATCACAGTTTGTTTGGAACTACTTATTAACGCAGTTCGTATTCCATATTATTTCTAATTCGTTGTCTGAAGCTCCAATATATTTACTAACTTATTTTACTGCTAATTGCAGTGGATCACTCGATTAGTTAGATTCTATTAAAATAACTATATTCTTTACGTTTCGCCAGCTTGTGATAACCAGTAAACATAATGTAAAACATTCTTGAGGTTTGAGGAGCTCGATGGCGCAAATGGTAAGCGCAATCGGCTGCGATGGAGTTAAGCAAGTTTCCAGTGGTCGGTCATTGGATGTGTGAACAAAACTTTACTAAAGAAAAGTTTACTAGAAAAAAAAACTATTTTTTTTCCAGTCAACTTTTCTTTAGATTTAAACATCTAGCAGTTAAATGCTTAAAAAATAAATAAAATCATAACTATAATTGCTATTTCTTCTTTCAAATGTTTAATACTTGAAAAAGTATTCATTTGACATTGTGGGTTACCTACAATGCGAAGAGATGGCGCTGCAAGGCAGCTTAAGGCTAGGAAAATTTCGACGCAGCTAATAGGGCCGTGGTAGCATAATGGTCAGTGCATTCGCCCGGATAGCGAAAGATGCGGGTTCGAGTCCCGTCCGCTGCCTGGTCCGCGTGGATTTTTTTCTAGTAAACTTTTCTTTAGATTTAAATATCTAGCAGTTAAATGCTTAAAAAATAAATAAAAACTTTACTATCTCGAGCTCCTCCGCGCATCGGAAGGCAAGTTAAGCCGTTGGTCCCGACTAAATCTGCAGTCGATAGCTCCCACCAATCCGCACTGCGCCCGCTTAATAGGCTAATGAAGATGAATGTAAAACAACATTTTATTCAAATTATAGTTAAGTTTAATGTCTATGTAGTTTTTATTCAATTTTATAGCAGATTATTATATCAAAGATTTTTTTGTAAAAAAAATATCGAGTTTGAAAAATTTTGCCATATAAAGCTTAAAATAAAAATACCCATGGTATTTTTTGTAACAGGTATAAAGAAAGAGCTAAGCTACTAGAGATGGAGCACAAGAAAGCGTACAGGATATTAGAGGAACTATTCAAGAGCGACAGGGACAACTGTAAGGAGTTCCTCGCAGCCAATCAGAAGAAGATTAAGAAGTTGCTGATGACGTCACTGAACAAAGCCGCCGACAGCAGTAAGGCTGCTAGACTTAGGTGAGTATCTATTTCGGATTTTGCTAACTATATCAAAAAAAGACGTAGAGAAATTGCGCCCTTGCAGGGTGTCGCATATTTATGCAACTTATGATATTATTGTTTTTGTACTATTAACTGGAGATTCGCTCGATCTCTTATGGCCGTACTGAACGATGTCAATTTAATTTAATGCTTTACTAAATCATCAGCCTTATTCTATTTCTATTGAAAAGAAACTGACAACACCAACTTTAATAAAACCCAAAAGTTGATGTATGTCCTTGAGTACGGCCGTTAGTCTCCCCTGACGCATATTCCCGTTTTTATTTATAATTTTTTTTTACTTATTTTATATTATTTTTGTCAAGAAAACTTATGAGGGGTGGTTTTACGTGTTATGCTAAAATAACGATACTTTTAAAGGATTAATATCGATGTTCGGTGATAATAAATATCATCTCTCTCTGTGTGTGTGTTTCATTTTCCAAATTTAATCTTATTCCCAGGTGCATAGAGCATTTAATAAGATCATCGCCTAATTTGACCGCGGAGAGTAAGTTGCTTCGAGGCGCGATCGCAGAATCAGTTGTATGCACTCGAGACATCAACTCCAAGTGTCGGCAATGCGCTTTCAATGTAATAACTTGCGTTGGTGAAGTTTTGAAAACACAGAAACTAGGTGAGTCGGAATGTGAACTTTATTTTATTAAAGATAAGAGTTTAAATATTGCCAATTTTTGCGTGGTTTTAATTTCTAAACAAAATATTATTAATGCGCTATACATATAGGAATTTTGATAAAATATTTTTATTAATATTTACATTAACTTCCACAAAGCCTTTGATACAATAAGATTGCCTAATAAGCTATAAAATGTTTGGGTCCAGGGACACTTGTTTTCATTAAATTATACTCTACTATCAAATTAAAAGAAAATCAAAGATTGTAGATGTTACATATAATGTTTGACTATTTAGAGGGTGTTCCGCAAGGCTCTCACTTCGGCCCTCTATTTTTTACGAAATCATTCCCACAAATTGCAGAAAAACGAGAGGAAAGATGTTACACATCAAAAATCACAAAGAACGTGTAAACGACTTACTAATAAAGAGTAATAACACATACACATAAATATTATGTATTATATTTTTCTCAATAGGTATGCAAGGGTTCGTAGAAATGTTAGTATCGGGACTATCGGCGCCGCTGCCTCGTATAGTGAGTGCGACTCTCCGCGCTTTAGCGTCTGCCATGTTTAACTTCTCCGAAGACTTGGGGCTGGAAACGGTTCAAGGGTTACTGGAGAAGGTGGCTGAGCAAATGCTAAGCGGCAACAGGGAGATTGTAGCCGCTGCGCTGAGTTTTTTAAAGGTAATTTGTGATATTTTCTATGTAGATATATATGTATAATGCGATTCAACTAAGAATAGGACCGACTGGGCGCCATACTGTGATGTCATAGCTGTCAATTCAAACGAAATAGGTAGTGAGCAAAAAAAATTTTTTACTTAATAAAACTAATTTACTAACATTAAGTGAGAAATAGCACCAGATTTTTTTAATAAAACTTATTTACTGAGATTGAGAAAAGAGAACAACCGATTCTTAATAATATTTATTTATTAAGACTGTGTGAGAAAAAACATTAATCAGAATTAAGCTCTTGAATTCCGCTCATTTCTGCATTACCACCGGTGTAGTTATAAATAATCATGCACTATTACTGGGTTACATACTAACATGCATCCTTTATGTAAACCAAGTTTCAAATCGAGTTTCAGAACGCAACTTAAAATGACATTTGGTTGACGATTTATGTTAACAAACATTCATAGCCAAAGCTCAATAAATGAAAAAAAAAATATCAACCAATATTAATTATCAATATTTGTTATTGTTAGTTTACAAATGTTTGATTTTTATTCAAGAATTAGTTGTTTTTTTTTTGCAAACCGTACTTTTCAAGCGACCTTTGAATCTGTCAAAGGTCGCTTGAAAAGTACGGTTTGCAAAAAAAACTCAACTAATTCTTGGCTTGGCAACTAGTTGACGGCTTTCCTATTCTTATTTGAATCGCATTATAGGTTTTGTTTATGTAAGTATTGTATTTTGTTATTTATGTTCAGGAGGCACACACTGACGACCTTCTTTTTTAATGTTGTTTCCTTTCGCGGGCCTGCTGGAAGATATTTCAATATGAAATAAGCAGTGCCCTCGTACAAATTTCTTGTGCCTGTTCTTCTTATCTGTTTTATTGTGTATTTACTAAATTAGTAAATAAAAAAATATTTAGTCGATAAGATAATATACGACGACCCCTGTGGTCGAGAGGTTTGTACGCCGGGTTTTAAGGTGTCGCCTACGCGAGAGGTTCGAATCCCGGTGGGGGCAGATGTTTGTGTGATTAATACGAGCATTTGTACCTCAGTCATGGATGTTTAATATGTATTTCCACATAAGTTTCAGGTATTTGGATTTCCCGCTAAAAGATTTTCGCACTTTTCAATAGTCAATTTTTTACTCAAAAAGATGTTTTACTAAAAAATATTGAGCAATTCAAAAGTAATATTCCTTATAAAAACTAAATGGCGTCTGTGGAGTTAGTTAGTTAGTTAAGTATTATTTCAAAATTACTCCTGCTTTTACGAAATGAAACTGGAAGTATTAAACTATTCAATCATAGTACTGTTTAACTTGTATAACTTTGTTCCCGTTCACGAGCGTGACGTTCGTTGAACGTTCAGAATTCGTACTAACAGTAACATTTTTCCCACAGGTATATACGAAAGTGTTGCCAACAGAAGTGCTAGCGGGCAGCTTGCCAGTTATATTCAACACACTGTCCTCTATGTCGGATGATTGCAAGAGGCATTCTAGACTAGAAATAGGCTATTTTCTCACTAGGTAACTTGGTCAATTATATTTGCGCTGGAATAACTAAACAGAACAATAAAGTTTTTATTTATTGAATAACATTAATATTTCACTTGAAAATTGAATTATTTTAATGTTTTCCATAGTTAAAAAAAATTTTGGCCCACATTGCTTCAACTGCTTATCATTTAATCATAAAATATATAAACCAGATTGTCATAAAAAACGAGTGTGCTTATGACCACACGATTGAAGTGAAACTTCTTTAGCTCCATCTGTGTGTGTACAATATATACATTTATGTACATGTACATATATATTTCATTTACTCGCTATAAGAGTAAGAGAGAAAGAAAATGAACGCGCGCCATGCTTTATCTTGCTTATATCCCCCCACTCAACTCCCATTTTCCTCGCCCGGACACACTTTTCGTAACGCATAACGGATTCGCCAGCTTACCCCCCAAGTCAAGCGTGCGTAAAGAAGTTTAATTTCAAAAAATATAACATACATGTTACTATGTCTCCTTGCTAAGCACTTTTTTCAAAGTTGTGCTCTCTTACTATGTTTGATGTTGTAATTTAGTTACACAATTTCGGTACAGAATGTTGAGGAAATACGGTGCTGACACCATAGAGAAACTGATCCCGAGCTCTGACGAGGTGATGCTGCGGAGACTGAGGAACCTACGGAAGATGGAAAACAGGAAGAAGAGACTGAAAGAAGGACAGAGGTAACGGGTTTTCATATTGCGATTTGGACATATTATAATTAGATGAGTATGACCAAAACCTTGTATAACTAGTCCGAACTTTTAGTTTTTATAAATCTGTCTGTAAACTTAAATATTAAATTATTTTTGAATAAAATCTACATTTACCAGTATCAACAAATTATACCGCTATCTCTATCAATCAACAAGTAATATAAAAATGCAAGCCTAAGTTTTATCCTATGTAGAGAAACAGAACACAGTTTAACTTGTCTTAACTTATTTTATGTTGTTTTTTAAATAATGATCGCTTTCAAGTAAAATCTAAGTCTTCTAGTATCAACAAAACAGCAATATTAAATATACAAGCCTTAGTTCTAAACAAGTTTATGCAAACATCCCTATCTGATCCTTAAGGCACATAGCATTAAGGCTTACATTTGAGTCTCGAACCGAAAGATGTAACTGTATTGTTCGTAAACTCGATCACAGAGAACAATCAGACGATTCCGACGCGGATACTTCAATACGAGGCACATCCAAGACCCTTGAGGAAATTCTTCAAGATTCGGACTCAGAAATGGAGTATTTGGACGATGAAGAGGATCAAAGACCAAGGGCTAAAGCCAAGAAACCCAAGACCACCAAGAATCAAGCCTGGATTCAGGATGACCCGGAAAATATAGTGGATTTAGCCGATGTGTCTGCCTCTAGGAAGATTACCGGTGAGTTTTTCAATACACTTGCTCAAAAAGTATGAATACATTGTTCAAAAGTTCAAAATTACGAGCCATCCAACGGAGCGTGCGGTAAAACATTTTACCGCACTCTCCCATACATGGCGCGTGCGTATTCTTTACGTTTTTTTTTTAATCCTTTAATCCTTGTCATGTTTCCTTGTTCCATACACAATAAAGACTTATTTATTATTTAATTTCGGTTGAATCTTGATAAGGTAAAGGGATTGGTAGGTAATAGTGGGGATTGGTAGGTGAAAAGGGGATTTGAGGGTGATAATAGGGGATTGGTTGCTGAAAAGGGGATTGGAGGATATTAGGGATTCGAGAATGATAAGGGAATTGGTGGGTGATAATAAGGGATAGGTGGGTGATGGTGGGGATTTATAGGTAATAGTTGGGATTGGTAGGTGAAAAGGGGATGGGAGGGTGAAAAAGGATTGGAGGGGGAAAAGAGGTTTGGAGGGTGTAAAGGGGATTCGAGGGTGTAGAGGGGGAGCAAAGGGTGAAATTGATTCCAACGACACTTCCAACTGGAACTGTATAATAATGCCACTAACGAGGACTTTTTGGCGGGATCGGTTTTGTTTTTCTTGTTAAAAATTGTGTTGTGGCGGTTGTCAGTGTCTAATAATGGTGGATTATTAACCACTAAGTGTTCGGGAACATGCACAAGTTTGGCAAGTGAAACAAAATAGTGGAAAGTGTCTTTCGACGTTCCCACAAGAATTCCAATGGGAGGCTCCAGTAAATCTCCACACATTTACTGAAACACAGGGAAAGGGGGATTGACTTGACTGCCACTTACTTTGACTTGATATAATACTTTGACCACGAGTGCTATAGAATTTGTAAACATTTTTAACACTTGACATTGGCTAAATGCACAAGCCGTGCGAAGCCATTGAGGGAAAAAAAATGCCGCTAACATTATTTAATTATTTCTAGCTACTGACCCCACGAAGAAGACCAAAGCTTTAGAAATGCAGCAAAAGAAGAAGGATGGTGGTTTCAAGACAGCACCTGACGGACGCCTGATCATCGCCGATGACGGTTCTGGTGATGACGATGATGAAGAGCCAAGACCCAGTGGAGATGTCGACAGCGATACTGATGACACTGGTCAGTTAAATAGACAAATATATTTTTTTACAGCTGCATTAAGAAAGGTTCCTTCAATAAGTAACGTATTGTTTTATTTTATTGCTATCGCTGAGAAAGTTTAAGCATCTACCTAAGTTGAACTTTAACGTTAATAGGGTATTTGACAAGTTTTAGAAAAGTATCTCGCGTTATTGACTAATGTTTATGGAGTCCGTAAAAATTGGATATTCATCATTCTGTTGTGTCATCATCATCATCAGCCTATTAATGTCCCCACTGCTGGGGCACAGGCCTTCCCTATGGATGGAATAGGGAGATTGGGCCATGACCCACCACGCGGGCCCAGTGCGAAACAACCACTGCGAAAGTTGCTTAAATTCAACGATCACAGCCGAACGCGCTAACCACCTGCGCCATCGAGCTCCTCTGTTGTGTATTTCAGTAAAAATAACCAAATCAAAAACTCCATTTTTAAGTTGCCGCGAACGTTTCTCTTTCTCTTACTAGTGTGTGACGCCACACGACTGTTATTAAAACTTCAAACGATACAATGTAATGTCACTTTAACCGGAAGTTTACTTGCGTGTGACGTTATTTAAGACTCCGCCAATCCCAAGCGTTTTGGGTCACGTGACAATAGATAAGAAAACTATTATCTATTTCTAAGGTTTTTAGTAACATTATGAATATTTTTTTTGTAAAAATAGTACAAATCCCTGCCAATATTCATTCTAAACACAGATGCTAACAATTGGCACTTTATTTTTAATACTGTCAAATACCCTATTAACTTCTCTTAGAGTCACACACCAATTAGCTTAAAGAAAAACACGGAGCCTGATGTTAATTTATGCTGCATGTTAAACTCTACCAATGGATTGGTTTTTCAGAAACGTTGAGAGGCAATAAATAATCTGGCAATCTGTTGGTTTAATTACTGGATAATATTAATACTTGCATATCACATGGCCATTTGTGTTAGCTATTTGTGAAGTTGACGACAGTTTTATCCTTTAAATATGAGGATATTATATTCTTTATGTTTTTGGATTTTTTAAGCATTTAACTGCTAGATGTTTAAATCTAAAGAAAATTTTACTAGAAAAATTCTACGCGGCCCAGGCTGCAGCCAGGACATTTAGGCCCGTATTACAGAATGACAACTAAGTGTTGATCTTTACTTGAGTACAGTTAGAAAGGGATGCCGCTATGTGCTATATATAGCGCCATCCCTTTCTAACTATTCTCAAGACTAGATTCATTACTGAGAATCTTTCTGTAATACGGGCCTTATGATCCACTACTGCTTTATCATAACGTCACTTAGATACTTGTTTCAAGAAGCAATTTTCTCTTTGGTTACAAAAATCAATAATCAATTATCTTTATTCGAATTGGATATATAGTACAACTCTTTTGAATCGTCCTAAAATTTTTTTTCCCTACCACACGTTATTGGACATTTTTTTTAACTGTGGAGAAAAACAAGCGAACAAAACTCCACAACATTAAAAAGTATAATGTAACAACATTTACAAATCATTATGTTGTTACAGCGTCAATACAATCATGATTTATTTAATACAGAATACCTGTTGGAATGATTGGAACAATTCAAACTCACGCACACTTAAAATGACAAAAAGTTAGATAATACTCTGGTAGGGCTAGATTTAAGCCAGGGCAGGTGGAGCAGTGTTTCCCACAATAGAGATAAAAAAAATGAGCGAGCCTTACAGTAGTCGCGTATGATGTGTAACATTTCAAACCTCACCTTCTATTAGTAAAAAAAAACCTACTACAAAAGGAATAAGCCATTTGAACATTATGTTCTAAAATCAAATCAAATAGCGCGACTTCCTGTTACACACTTCCGTCCCGTTTCACGAAATCACTCCCACAAATTGCAGGAAAGCGAGAGGAAAGATGTTACACATCAAAAAATGGACAAGTCATGAAACCAGGGTCAAATCGTAAGTGGCCTGGCCCGTATTAATGGGACCTCCGGGCCACCACACCTTTAAATCCGGCCCCGAGTTTTACCGACAACTATATGCCACATTCGTTACGTTAATAACGTGTAAAATAATAATAACTGTTTGGTAAAGAGTGACTGAGGTGCGGGTTCGAGTCCCGTCTACTGCGTGCATTGTTTTCCAGTAAAATTTTCTTTAGATTTAAATATCTAGCAGTTAAATGCTTAATATGAAAATATAATCAATAGATTAGATTAAACAATAATTTATCATCATCAGCCTGTTATTATACCCACTGATGGTGCACAGGTCTTTTCTATGGATGGAATAGGGAGATTGGGCCATGACCACGCAGGCCCAGTGCGGATTGGTGGGTGCTAACGACAGATGCAGCCGTGACGGCTTAACGTGCCTTCCGAAGTACGGAGGACCTCGAGATAGAAGAATTTTGGTCACCCATCCAATGACCGACCACTGCAAAAGTTGCTTAACTTGCAGCCGAACGCGCTTAACACCTGCGCCATCGAGCTCCTCTCAATTATTTATAAGTACCCTGTTTAGATGACGAAGGAGCAAGCAGCAAGCCTTCCAAGCTCCTCAAGCCCGGCAGCAAACGGCGATACGACGATATATTGAGTATCAAGAGCGGTAGAACTAACAGAAGTAAAGCTTCCACCGTCACTGTCAATTCCAAGTACAAGGCCGGAGGGAAAGGCATTCACAGGTAATTATAAACAGTAAAATATATATAATACTAGCTGCCCCAGCGAACTTCGTACCGCCATAAAAAAATAGGGTTTGGTGGTAGAAGGGTGAAAATTTAGGATTATATGTATTTTTGTATGATGTATTATAAAAAAAGAAAAAATTGATCCAAAAAAAATTAAGGGTGGACCACCACATTTAGGGGGATGAAAATAGATGATGTCTGATTCTCAAATCTACTGAATATGCATATAAAATTTCACTAAAATCGGTCGAGCCGTTTCTGAGTAGTACAATTACGCATGCCGTGACACGAGAATTTTATATATTAGATATAATCGTGTTTAACATGTCAATCATTCGTTATAATAATAAAAAGAGATGGCTTTTGCACCACCCTAATGTTAGGTTATTGAGGATAATAAGTTTCACTTCACTTATGTGGTTGGTCCACATTGTTTTCCTAACTTTATCGGGAAAGTCAACGTCTGTGGGATCCGCTAGTAATAGGTTATGAAAAACCATGTACATCGGCGCCTGCGCAGTAGCAATTCTACATACAAAATAGTCTACTGCGCAAGATTATTTATCTGTTGTCTTGCTCAAAAAGTTTGCCGTTATCTACCTATTAATGTCCCCACTGCTGGAGCACGGGGTTTCCCTATGGATGGTATAGGGAGACTGGGCCGTGACCCACCACGTGGACCCATTGCCGATTAGTGTGTTCCAACGACTGCAGCTGCAGCCGTGACCAACGGCTTAACGTGCCTTCCGAAGCACGGAGGAAGTCATGATAGTAATTTTTCGGTCACCCATTCAATGACCACTGCTAAAGTTGCTTAACTTCAACGATCGCAGCCGAACGCGCTAACCACTAAACACATCGAGCTCCTAATTTGACTATATATCTTTATATATATAATTCTTCTGTGAGTGTGTATGTCACTGAACTTCTCTTAAACGACTGGACCGATTTTGATGAAATTTTTTGTGTGTGTTCAAGGGGATCTGAGAATGGTTTAGATTCACAATTTTGTCCGCTGGACAACCCCTATTTTTTTAGGGCGGTACGAAGTTCGCTGGGTCAGCTAGTATATTTATAAGTTTTATTTTTAAGCATGTAACTGCTCAATGTTTAAATCTTAAGAAAATATTACTAGAAAAACAAATATTTATCTATATACTAGTGGCCCGCCCTCGCTTCGCTTCGGGGTAAAATTGATCAAAATCCTTTCTTAGCGGATGCCTACGTCATAACATCTACCTGCATGCCAAATTTCAGCCCGATCCGTCCAGTGGTTTGGGCTGTGCGTTGATAGATCACTATGTCAGTCAGTCACCTTTGAGTTTTATATATATAGATTGTGTTTTTTGTCCAGACCCCTAGGATCGGCTGCTTCCGTAGCCTCAACAGCAGGCACCGAGTATCGTTCCAAGAAGTCTAAAGGCGACGTCAAGAAGAAGGGCAAACACGACCCTTATGCATATCTACCACTATCTAGGAAAAATCTTAACAAAAGGTTAGTATCGTGTAAGCTAAATAGTGGTAGGACATTTTTCTAGATAAAATTTCACGCGAACCAGGCAGCAGACGGGACTCGAACCCGCACCCTTCGCTATCCGGGCGAATGCACTGACCATTATGCTAACGCAGCTCCAATTTTCTCTAGCATTTCTTAAGCTGCAAGGCAGCGCCATCTCTTCGCATTGTAGGTAACCCACAGTGTCAAATGTATAGCTTTACAATTATTAAACATTTGACAGAAGAAATAGCAATAAAAGTTTTTTTTTAACATTTAACTACTAGATTTTTAATCTATACAAAATATATGTATAACTATGAGGTAGGACGTTTAGGATTAACCGCTCAAATAAAAAAGGGAGAGAAGTTAATTGTAGCGCCGCCCGTCTGGGGAAGATAACACTACCTTTTGGATATTTTCATCATCATAATCTTCAGCCTTTTAATCTTTCTACTGCTGGGGCACAGGCCTTCCCTATGGACGGAATAGGGAGATTGGGTCATTACCCAACTATGATTTAAAACTTAAATCTAAATAAAATTTTACTAGAAAAAATTCCACGCGGTCCAGGCAGCAGACGGTACTCGAACCCGCACCCTCCGTTATCCGGGCGAATGCACTGACCATTATGCTACCGCGGCCCTCACGGCCGTGTTGAATTTCCTCTAGCCTTGGCTGCAAGGCAGCGTTTAACGACTTAGGCTGCAATTTTTTCTAGTAAACTTTAATTTAGATGTTAACATCTAGTAGCAGTTAAATGCTTAAAAAACATTAATATAAAACTTTTTCTATTGCAGGACAAAAGCAGTCACATCGAAGCAATTTAAGGGTATCGTCAAGTCGAAAACTAAAATAGGCAACAAAATGAAATCTAAGAAGAAATCTTAAATAAAATACTACTGATCTAGATGTTAATAGTTTATCTATAATGCACCCTATCTCAACGTAATAAGAGTGAAATTGTAACCTACTTTCGTATATGTGCCTCATAAGAAACCTGATAATTTTGAAAATAACAACATATAGCTATTTGCATTTTTAGTGTAAATACTGGCTCTAAGATTGAAATAAAAATGTTTACATGATGTTGCTTTGAAAATAAGGATTGTAAATGTAGACATGTTTACATTTTGGACTTGTTAAAATGATTAGATTTCCAATAAATCTATTTATTTTCAAAATATTATTTTTATTACTATACTTCAATACTGTGTGTATCTAATTATCTATTAGATAAGTATCAGATTTTTCTCGTGTGGGTATATTCATCGCGGGGTTGCGGTTGGCAAAGACGCGACAGAAAGAAACAGATATACTTCAGTAACTACATCCCCCTTTATCATAATAATAGGGTATTTGACAGTATTAAAAATAAAGTGCCAATTGTTAGCATCATTTTTACAAAAAAGTATTCATTTTTTTACTAAAAACCCACAAAAAAGATAATAGTTTACTTATCTTTTGTCACGTGACCCAAAACGCTTGGGATTGGCGGAGCCTAAAATGACGTCACACTCAAGTAAACTTCTGGATAAAGTGACATTACATTGTATCGTTTGACGTTTTAATAACAGTCGTGTGACGTCACACACTAGTAAGACGCCATATTGTCCAGAGAAACATTTTCGCGGCAAATTAAAAATGGAGTTTTTGATTTGGTTATTTTTACTGAAATACACAACAGAATGATGAATATCCACTCCGGACGGACTTCATAAACATTAGTCAATAACGTGAGATCGTTTTCTAAAACTTGTCAAATACCCTAATAAGAATCACGTCGACAACTTTGAGTTTAATTTTAAACAAACTAGGGAACCTCATAATACTTATGCCTGTTTCACACGAGGGCAGGACAGTGAGGCACAATAGTTGGGTAAGACAGTGGGGTCCAAATATAGGACAGTACAGTCGGTCCGCGTAGCGATGGAGCATCGACGACGACAACATTTAAGACAGTTGCTCAAAATTGCAATACAAATAGGTCTGGATGAGCTAAGTGAAATGGGAAAGAAAAACTTTGGATCAGACCCTGAATAGCAAGAGGACCAGGGGGCCATTCGCCTAACGGAAATGCTTTGGAACACGCTAACGCTTTCGTTTTTACAAGCTTTTATTTAACTTGCTATGTATGTTTGTTACGGTCAAATCTTACAATTTAATTTTAAAGCACTTGCCCGCGACCGATTAAGCTGAAATTTAGTGTGACGTCATTCTAAATCCAATATGGCGGCATACCCAAAATGGCGGACCAATCATTTTTAATGCATTCCTACAATATGGGTATCAAATTAAAGGGCTTGCTGAGAGTAACTCGAAAAAAATGTGACGTCACTCTCAATCCAATATGGCGGACTTCTAAAATTTGAAAATCTATTTAGAAACAAACTTTAACTAAATTTTCTTTTTTTCTTTTTAGCGCATTTGAATAAAAGCTTGTTTTTAAAAAGGTTTTTGTACCTTAATTTTATTATTATTTTGTTATTTCTGACCGCCGAAGGTTTTCAAATACGTCACGCTCATTTTTCTTATTATATAATATTGTTATTACCAATGCAATGCAAAAGAAAAAAAAAGAGCGCGAGGCATTTGAAAACTTCAGGCGGCTAGAAATAACAAAATGAAATCGTAAGCGTGCTAACGCTAGTTTTCCAAAGCATTTCTGTTAGGCTAATGGCCCCCAGAGCTTGGTTGTTCAAATCAAGTTATATATGAAATAGGATGGAAGATCCCAAAGAGTTTTAATTAATAATGCGTATGACAAAGGAAAAGCATGGAGTATTGTTGCACCTCATCATCGCGCGCTGTCCTGCCCTCTGCACTGCACTGTCCTCGCGTTCACACGAGTCCAGCCACAAGACAGTCGAGCGAGAAAGGTGATGGGGGGAGCCAACTGCCCCGAATAAAATATCATAATATTTGCGCTACCGGGATACGGGTCCAGTAACTGGTTTTGACAGATAGAAGTGATAATCACCGAGCTTTCTACTGATCCACTGACGCTTTAATATAACGTCACTCAGATACTTGTTCTGAAAAGCAGTGATGGATATGCAGTTATATAGCTGGCTGGTTATGATTATATAGCTGGCGAATAGGCTGGAAGGACGTATGGAGCAGATGGCAGCACGGTCTCCATTGTACCAAACGGTCGATCTTTAGATAGAAACGATAGTAGATAGTTCAACCACCCAGAGTTCCACAACGAAAACGATTAAGAGAGGCGTGAAGAAGCATTTTTGCAGGCCGTCAAGGTGAGGATGGTTGGTGTGGCAGTTTATAACTGCTGTACCAGCTATTTTCGCGGTTGGACTTTATCACCACTTAACATCAGGTGGGACAGACTTATATAATACGAAGAGCCAAGTGAAGTGCCGGCATAAGAATTCTCATTTTTGTCAGTTCTTACTTAGATCAATTTCTTAAGATGAAATGTAAAGAGGGAGCTTATGACCACACGACTGTAGTGAAACTTCTTTAGCTCCATCAGTATGTATATATATTTATATATATGTGCAATATATACATATATGTACATATACATATTTCATTTACTAGCTATAAGAAAAAGAAAATGTGCGTGCGCACTGCTTTCTCTTGCTTATATCCCCCACTCAATTCCTGTTCGCCCCGCCCGAACACACTTTTCGTAACGCATTCGCCAGTTGACCCCCCAAGTCAAGCGTGCGCACAGAAGTTTCACTTCAAAAAGAAATGAAAAAAAAGGTTGCTCAAGTCATTACTTAAAGTAAGGTAAGGTTAAGCGGGGATTTTGGGATTAACCTTGAACCCATGTAAAGTACTCGTACTTCACACTCGTACGAAGGCTCCGTACTAGGGCAGCAAAAAAAATATTGGTCGTTGGTCTTGTTCAAATCGTCAATATTTTGATTAGGAGCTTCTGGATGGTAACATTACACATCGCAGTGGTGTCGTACTAAGTTGGGTGAAATTGATATACGAACAGTAATGACAAGTTGTCGGCATTGTCTTTGTTGGTTTATAAATAGTGTTAGGGTATTTAAGGTGTAATTGGACCGTCTGTTTGAGAAAGTAACCTCCACACTGTGCCTCTACGCTCGAGCCGAGAACCGTGGCCGATGCTTAGATTACTTAAAACAAAAAGGGTAGATACGGTACGCTCCTAACTGCATCAAACAAAAACTGATCCCACGGCAGCGCGACCGGGACGGCGAGATCCGCGTCACTGCATTACCGACCCGAACGATACAGCACGTTAAGTTTCAACGGCAGCGCGAACGAGACGGCGAGATCCGTGTCACTGCACTACCGACCAATCACGCGACCAGCACTCGACGTCACTACCGAATAAGATTCAAAACAAACAGTAATTTTTATGAAAAAATATATTTTATAGTACTTACGAATGAAAAGTGATGCCTTGGGTTTTATTTTTAGTTCTTGAGCAATTTGAGCACTTTTTAAAAACACACTTAGGCATTGTTTTATCATATAAACACAAAATATTAGCAATATTTCTTTTCGGCGTTCACATGTACGTCGTTTGCATGTCAAGTTGTGACTAAAGCGATTAGGGTCGTGGACCACAATTCATGCGGATCACTTTTGTGAGGCTAGTGCCGTATCTACCCTTTTTGTTTTAATCTAAGGGCCGATGGCGGTTGCGCGGATGTTAATTTGTATCTCCCGCGCGGTTACGCGGATGCAAGCAGTACGTGCTCGATGCGCGGATGCCAGTGCGTTAACGTACCTATATGCCTATGCAAATAAAACCGCGCAACCGCCATCGGCCGCAGTTCACGGCTCGTGTGTTGTGGCACGTAGATGCACGGTGTAGACTGTAGAGCTTACTTTCACAAACAGACGGTCCAATTCAATGTTGTTCACCTACCTGAACGCAGTATTTTTTTTACACGCTTGCTTTGGGATTGGGTTTGTACATGCTGGCACTAGTAGGGGAAGGCGTGTCTTGGCTATTCCCGCCCAGTGACCTGAGTCCTATGACGTCAGCCATGCCGGTCACCGAAGGATTCCGTGACGGCAGCCCTCTCTTGCACCCGCACTTAACAGCGTAGAGGGTACCTATTCGCAGGATTTTTAGCGGATAGTATGCCGTAAGCGCTCGTAAGCCGCGCGGACTTCTTAACGGCTTCTCCGTTTCGCACCCGTGAGACTTGCGAGAGGCCAGGTGTGAGGTCCGTTCATTGGTGTGTCCCTTAGGGCGCCAACGTATGTAAATAGAGGTTTTGCCTGCATAATAAAAAAGTGACCATGCTGGCGAGACGGACGATGGTTGGAGTGTTGTTGGTCGAAGCCACAGTAGGACACTTGCACTCGCGTTATGCAATGGCGGGTTACATGACATCACCTACTACGTGTGCCGCTTCGCTACATCCATAGCCACTTCACCGACCTGAACTTTAACCCCTAACCCGTTGATCCCTAGAACCTTACCCCCTTACAAAAACTACACTACTAAAAACCAGTGTTATATCCCTATGCTCATCTATATGGCCTGCGCAGACGAGGGACACTATTCGCAGATTTTTCGCTACGCCATAATAGATCGCAACAACTGCATCGAGTAAGGGGCCGTTCAAGTATTACGTAAGCACTATAGGAAGGGGGGCAGGGGGGTCTTTGTGTTCCTTATTTTTGATGACATGGGGGGGTGGGGGATCGAGATAGTGATTACGTCAGCATCATGGATTCGGGTGTCATGGACTGAAGATTGTATACATATACCAAAAATTCGAAAGAAGTTGGTTTTGTTCGTAATAGGACCTTACTCAATGTTGAATACTGTGTCAATAAAGTTTGTTTCAATGAATATTATGTGCGTTAAATTCCTCTATCCTAAGCCTATTTAAGGACTGCTGCTCATGAAGCTCATGAATTAATAAATAAAAACAGAATACATTAAAGGAAATATGCAAAGGTACCAATGTTTTCGTAAGCACGTGAGGGGGGGAGTAAGAGCTTCGCTTACTTTTGCTGACAAGGGGGAGGAGGGGGTAAATAATTGTAATAAATCTGCTTACGTAATACTTGAACGGCCCCTAACACACACGAGAAATTTAAAGTCCCGCGTATAACTGCTCACACCGCAAGGACGTACAGGAGAAAAAATACGCAAACATCCGAGAAAAAATTATCATGTGACTAGTCGCACAGGACCTTTAGTCTGCGTTTCGCGCTCGATCCAATTTAAAGGGTTGGGAAACGTCTTTTCTTTTTCTAAAACTTCGTGTTAAACACATTTACAACACAACGTAATTTGAGAATATTTACTTCCATAGCGTGTGCTTCGCTAAATTTCCGGGCAACTTATGCCCCAGTAGTGCAGTCATTGAAGCATTATTGCTCCGATTTTTTTTACTGTGAACCGAAATGCATACAATTTTGGAATTAGGTTCATCTTACCCTTAACTTCAAAAGTGAAAATAATTTGAACTCCGCAACCACCCTGCGGGTGGTTGCGGGCCGTTCTCGGGGGTGAATTTTTTTTTTTCAAAATAACCTCGGATATCGATAGAAGGCCTAATTTAAAGCAAAAAAATCATCTATAAAGTTTTTCAAAAAATCCAATACTTTTCAAGTTATTGACAATTGAAAATTCGCAATTTTACGAAATTATACGTTTTATCGAAAATTTTATAAAGAACAAAATTGTAGCAGGTAAAACAATGAACAATTTGGTTTTTTATCAAGTATTCTAAGTGCAATATTAAGCTAGATATTAAAGATCAAAGCCGTTTTTTATTTTGTCTGAAATTTAATCGATGTGGTCAATGCCATCTAGCTGCGAGCAGATGCATTTTGTGCATTCTAATACAAATGGGTTTTGTAGTGCTTGAAATAAGCTTTAAAATGAGGACTATTAAAAGACTTTTGCACGTAAAATAAGTGAGCTGTATTGCAAATAAGGGGAGCATCTAATGTTTTTTCTTTTAAATCAATGGGTTTCATAAGTGCCATTTCCACCAAAATTAAAATTAATCGTATTCCGCCTAGAATTAACTTTATTATGAAGAGTTTGATAGATAGTATCAGTTTGGCTGCTTCAGGACACATATTTTTCAAAAAAGTCACGATTAAAACAAAAACAAAATTTCAAATTAAAAAAAACCCACTTCTTTTTCATAATATCTCAAAAATAACGACAGATACGTATAAAAGTGTGCGGATTAAAAATTTAGGTATTTTTCTGACAAACAATTTGGTTTTTTTGTTTTTTCTGTCAAACAAAAATTGACGGAGATATGATTGTTTAAAGAGCGCGTGGCAGCGCAACCACAGTCTCTCTTAACCCCTTTAACCCTTCACCGTTTTACAAAAAGGTTTTTTTACTATATATTGCAATGAAGGATGTTGTAGCTTTACAATGGATTTTTATAAATTATGATAGCATGAAAATTGAAGGAGTTATGGTCCAAAAACTTATCATATTTTTTTCTACTTAGTAACTGAAAATTTCTGAGTGTGAATATTTGGAGCAATGTGAAAGTACGCAGTATAATAGAGACCTACAACTATTGTAATGTGTATATATATACATAATATGGCTCATATATTTTGGAAACGTAGGCATGAATACATACCAACGTGCTTATATGTATATATAACACATTTGAGTGAAGGGGCCAACGAAAAAGCCATGTGATCAGCTGAGCGTGCTACGTTTATTCGTTAAAATGTGACCAGTATATTTCCGTCTGCAAAGGAATGAGCACGTGTTTAATATAATATTTTAACTAGACACCCAATTTCAATACATTTTGTTTAATAAAAAAATGTAAGTAGATAAAAAACCTGTTTTTTTTTAATAATATCTTATTAAAATTGTGCCATAAAATTATATTATCCAAAAATCTAATGAAAATATATTCTACTAGTATTGACGTTCGTACTATTCAAAGAGCACGTTTCAATAAATGGCAATTTTTTACTCTAAATTAAATTATTTTTAAATATGTAATCATATATATTTACTGTTTTAATTAAGGGATAGTTTTAAGGGTAGAAGAGCTTAAGAATATGATAATCATTTTAGAGAGTGTGGAATAATATATACCGAAATCCTTTTCATTTTATCAAAAATTTTTTTAACAATTTTTTATCAAGGGGTAGTTTTCAAGGGTTGAAAGAAAGGGGGTTAAAAATTTGATAATTATTATAGAGAATATAAAATATTACTTCCTCTATACTTACATCTTTTTATGTCATACCAAAGTATTTTTTTGTGATTTTTTCAATTTAGAGGTTGTTTGCAAGGGTAGTAAGATTTTCAAAGGGTTGAAAATGATTTTAATATGAGGTAATTATGTTAGAAAATACTTTACAATTTCACCACTTACTATTAGACATGTTTTCTAGCGATAAAATGACTCGAATGTCAATTTTTCCATTAAGGGGTGTTTACACCCCTTAAAAGAATAGGCGGAGTTCAGATCATTTTCACTTTTGAAGTTAAGGGTAAGATGAGCCTAATTCCAAAATTTCATGCAAATCGGTTCACAGTAAAAAAATTCGCACTAGAGCGTCGAGTCCGTTACAAGTCCTATGCGGACACTTTTTTCATGATTCAGGGATTTAAATCCTCCACGGACAAAATTCCCTCGTCTGCGCCGGCCATTAAGATGGAGGTTACTTTCCTAAAGTGGCGCTCCAATAGGATCTAAAATGCCGCTTTGCGTATGTTACTTCTACCTCTGCTATTACGTCCAATCTCTACAGTAGCAGTTTCGTTTAATTTTTGAAGCTTTTCCAGTATTAGAACTAGCTTCACCGTATAATGCAATACGAGTTTTTAAAAAGTAACTATTGTAAAACATTTCCTATTTTGTAGAGGAAATCTTTTATGATGAGATCGTATCTCGTACTAATCCACAAAGGTAGTTTCGTAAATCACAATCTATGGATAGAAATAATTACTTCGTTTGAATTTTAAATTTTAAGTAAGTTACGGCTTTTTACAAACTCGTGGGAACGAATGAACACGCAATCGCCGCGCATTTGAATTGAATACCGAGAACCATGCGAGAACCCTACCAAGCAAAAGGAGTTGGAAATATTAAAACAATATGTGCTAATTATTGAGGTATTTGCCTTTATTTTCAAAAGGAGGCTTTTACTATTATGGATAGACTTATATATATTTATTTATATTTTTACATGGAAATTTTCATCACATTAAATCATTATTAATCCTAGGCCATTTATTGATCAGTATTCATTTCAGTATCAACATGAGTAATAATAATGTCATTTCGAAAAAATACAACCATATCTGTATAAGCTATTTTAATTTCCATTAACTCATACCAATTGCTGCATCTCGATTTCGTACAAAGATTTTTTTAGAAAAATCTTATGTTTCATATAAAAAAAAATACAAACATTAGTTCGATCGCAATGAAAGAAAATAAAATTGAGATTTACAACTCTTGTTTTCGCAACAACTTCAAATTCCTTCGATAATTACTATCAGTGATTTCTTTACAATAAACTAGTAGACTTCGATTCGAATACTTTTTACAGAAAAAATAAATATACAAATTATATTACGTGACTACACAACCGGTGATTGCTTAGTTAGCACTTTTCGTCGGCGAGAACGTCCAGCGCGAAGCCGAGGTCCAGCACGGCTGAGGGCGGCCGCTTGGCGACGTGCCTCGCGCGCCCCTTCACCTCCGGCACGTGCCCGTTCAGCGCGTGCCGCACGTCCCCGGAGAACAAGTCGCTCAGAGTCTGTCCCACCTCCTTACTACCACTCTTAGCACTACACGTCACTATCAGTTTTCGCACTTCGGGTTTGTTCGTTTTACTAGCGTTCATATGCACAGTTTTGGACAGAGAGAGCGAGTTTTGGCCGTAGTAGAAGCTGTTCGCGCCCGCGTTTTTGTTACTCGACCGAGAGAGGGACGATTTGATGTTACTCCGGACGGTGGCGAACTTCTTGCCTAGCGTCACCGCGCCGCCCGCGCACGCCGCGTTGAACGTGCACACCGCCAGGGGGCGCGGGGACGATGAGTACCAGCACACGTCCGCTGGAACCAGCGGCGGCGGCCCTTCGTCCGGCTTTTCTCTCGTCGTCTCCACCGGCGACGCTATACTCAGCAACGGCACTTCCGGGGGGAACTCCGCGTCATCCGGCAGCAAGAACTGGTCGGTCAACGGCTGGCTCAGCAGCGAGGAGATGTTGGAAGTGTCGGGGAGCACCGCGCCGGACTCTTGGAGGAGGCTCTCCACGATGTTGTCGACTTGCTGCTCGGCCGTGAGCCCGTTGAAGCCGAGGTCGATGTTGGCGTTGACTAGGAGCGGTGGGATGGCGACGGCGGGCGCAGGCGGTGCCGCCGCAGCGTCGCGGGAGGCGCGGTGCTCGGCCAGCAGCGTGTCGAAGGGCTTCGCTCTTCCCTCCACCGTCCGCCGCAGCGACAACGCGTGCGCTTTACACGTCAGCGAACGCGTGCATGGCTTCGGATTCTCAGCGGTGACCACGCCGCAGTGCTTGTTCGGGTCGTATTCTCGGAGGTTGAATTTCGTTTTGCTCGATTTCGATCGCGACGGCGTTTTCGCTATCGGCTTACTCGGCGCCGTCGCCTTCAGAGTTTGTGTCTGATTGAGCACATTGACATCTACTATGTTAGGTATGATCGGAGAAGCGTTCGGTACGAACTGAATATTGGACAAGTCCGCTTCTGGTATTGAGTATGCGGATAGGGTAGCTGGATGAACAGTGGAGTATAAATCTTGGGGAGGCACTGGCTCTGTGACCTGAGGAAAATTGATATCTGGCATATTACCTATATCCCTAATAATGTTTTTCCAATCAGTTGAATTTGCGAGGTCGTCTGCGGTTTGTATGCCCTCTGAGTTCATTATATCGAATATGTCATCAGTAATGTTTTCACCGAGGGGCAATTCTTCCGTGTCCTGTATGCTGACAACTGGTAACTCTCCAGTTTCTACACAGACTTGCACTTCACCAGTGACTCCAGCAGATGTGCTGGCTTCCTCCAGATATTGTAAATCGGGCTGTGGTAAAACTATCCTTGAAATTGGGGCTGCGGCAGTGTGAACTGGAGATGTTTCCATTTTGACAGGGTGTAGGTCTACAGGCAGTGGTGGCGGTGCTTCCTTTTTATGTCGACTTCTGCTTTTACTTGTGATGATAGATGGTGGCGGTGGGAGTATTGGGTCTACATTGGAGTGGGATTCTAACAAATGTCTGTATGCAGCACTGCACTTCACTATTACACCGCACATGTGGCACACGGCCGCGTTGAGGTCGTCTAATTGGGGAAACAGTCCATGGAGGCTCATGCTCTCGTGTTTGAGACGGTTGAGGCCGGGCCTTCGATGGCGCGCCGTCTTGTAGGGGTGTGCGGAGTGGACGCGGCGGGCGGATACCGCCTTCGCGTCCATCCCCAGCGGCGGCACGAACCCATCGTCGTCCCGCCGCGGCGACAGGTGCCCTATCTCACTGACCCACAAATCCCAAGGCTTCTCATTGCACTTCACGGGACTGACGATTTTAGACACGAACGGAAACTCACCGGACATTATTCAAGTTTAGCACGTAAACCAAATTAAAAATCCAGCCTCATGGGAGAGCCATGTCAGGACCGCTGGCACCTCAGTTAGGTTATTATCCCATTTCTGTTTTCGTAACACTTTCCGTCACTTGCCGTTCAGGGTCACATCGTAGTGTTATTGTTCACTTTATTATTTACATTCACTGAACTGATACGTGTTATGATTGTTTTAGCTTTTATATTTACAGGGACAGATGATCTATCTCACTGACAGCTGATTATGCAGATTGTAAGTTTTTCTACACGACGGGACACTTCCATCTGTCGATGATTGTTCTTAGAGCACTCTTCATGTCCTAATTATTAAAATATACCATTGAATTAACTGTATTTATGTGACATTAAACTCGTTTTACACAAATAAAATGTCCAAAAATTGTGTTTGGTTGGTTGTAATTTACTATAGAAAGCATCAACACTTTTTTGAGTATTTGTAAGAAACGTAATGCTCTATGGTCTTAGGGATGTGATCCATATCGATTATAAATCGATTATTTATAGCGAGGAAATAGTTTAAATTATTTCAACTTCGAATTTTGGCCATAATGAATAAGTAATATTTTTTTATTATTGCGTTCTTATATGGAAAATAAAATCTGTGATGGTACTAGGTAGTATTCAAGAATTATTATTTCAAAACCTAATATCATGCATGTAAAATAAAAACATTATGGGACACTTTGCAGTCCTTTATTATGAATTGGAATATGGCACTTATTTAAAAGATCTTCAAAAAATACAATTGGTAACCTTCTTCAAAAAAAGGACATATACGGTTAGGTCCTAACCGTTATATGACTACTTGTATTTTCTTGGTTATCGTTTAATAATTTCCTTTTTATTGAGGGTCATTTAAATATTTCTCCTTTAATATTATTGTATTCATATAAACAATTCTATAACCCATACAGATTTCATAGTTCAATTTTACAATTTAAATCACATTACATAATTATGTTATTTTGAACACAAAGATCCAAATGCTTTCCGACTTTAGTTTGATATTTCTGTAAAAATACAGATTTTATGTGAAATATTTCAATATACGATAAGTACCAATTGTAATTGAATAGATTGAACTACACTTTAGTAGTCGTTATGATATAGACACACTCTTTTGTTTATGCCACCTGCGTTTGTCAAAAACATGATGACAGTGACAAAAAGATTGACTTGACATGATTATCACTGACATTGAATCAGTCAAAAATATAGTTTTTTAAAAATAGGAAAATCTGAAATTAAAGTCTAACAAACAGTCGCACTTTCAAAATGTTATAAAAAACAGATTTGAAAACACCCTGACTATGTCCGGTTATCTTCACAAGCACAAAGTCACGTGCCGGCATCTTCATGTGGCTGCGAAACTTCTGCCGATCTTTGTTATTCGGTGTGCCCATGGGAGCAACGATCCTTGACACCGTAGGCTATGTGGCCAGAGTAGAAGGAATCTCTATGCAGCCAGCCCTCAACCCAGAGTCAACCAACACTGATTACGTTTTCTTGTCGCGCTGGGCAGTCAGAGACTACGATGTTAAACGGGGTGACATAATATCACTCGTGTCACCGAAAGACCCAAACCAGAAGATCATTAAACGTGTAGTAGCTCTACAGGGTGACATTGTGAATACGATGGGCTATAAAAGCCAATATGTGAAGGTTCCGGAAGGTCATTGTTGGGTGGAAGGAGACCACACTGGACACACACTTGATAGCAATACATTTGGACCAGTTTCCTTAGGATTAGTAAATGCTAAGGCTGTGTGCATTGTTTGGCCACCTAATCGGTGGCATTATCTCGATACTAAACTTCCAGAACATAGAAAGCCTATTAGCAATGCTTTTTAGTACAAAGTATTTATTAGTGAATGTTGGTGTTTGCAATTTACTATGAGCTTTCCTTGTGGGGACTAGTTTTATTTTCCACTGCCATCTCGCAAATCTATTTTGAGGTTAGGAAATATTATTTGTAAATAATTAATATACTATTGCCTTACAGTTTATTCTTGATTTTCTGTAGATCTCTTGCCTAGTCTTACTATCTCACTACACAGTTTTGTGATTATTTATACTTATGCCCAATTACATTGTAGGTACTTAATTATTACAAGACTTTCCATTTAACATGATAAAAAATAGAAAAATATTATTTTAATAGAACCATGAATATTGTGCAAAATTATAATTTATAAGGTTGAAATGATAGTAACTGTTGTGGATTTATTATTAATGAAGTTTTGTTAAATAAACAAATATGTGAAAGTTGGTCTTTCTTTTCCTATTAAAACAAACAGATAATCTTTAACATTTATTAAGAACAAGCTATCACAGTTTAGAATAAAACAGTATCTCATTTTAGCGTGTTACTCAATCCTTGGTTTTCTAATATACCTATTATTTTTTCATAAGATATTCCTTTCCTAATTATATTGTATTGACCAATCTCAGACAGATCCACAACTGTAGATCCAGTTCTATTCTCTTCACTTTGACTTAAAATGCCTCCATCAAAGACAGCCCCCAAAAGTCCATATAAATGTTCAAATTCCTGAATGGACAGTGTCGATGGTTCATTACTAAAGTTAGCACTGGTCAAGGCAACAGGCATATCAAACAATTGGGTAACATTATTAATGAATATGTGGTTTGGTATTCGAATGCCAATTTTTGTAGTAGTGGGATTGAGATAAGGATTATCTAAGTGTTTAGTTCTTTCTAATACAACTGTCACTGGCCCTGGAAGGAGACTGCAGAGCAGCGAATCAGTCAGGTGGTCGGCCTGACCCCATTTACGAACATCTGTGATATGTGACACACATATAGCAACAGGCTTAGCGGAGTCTCTGCCTTTAATGTTATATAGCTTCTTTATTGCCTCTGGGCAGTTAGCACTACACGCCAGGCCATATATAGTATCTGTTGGTACTGCTATAACTGCCCCACTTGCCAACAACTCTGCAGCTTTAGATACTGCAGTTTTATTTGCACATGGTATCACAGATGCCATCTCGATCTTCATTTTCACAGAAGCACTTCTAAACTTCAACAAGTTACTAGTTAAACTACTAGTTCTTTTAAACAATGTCATACTAATTCACTTTGAATTCTCACAGTAACCATATAAGTTAATCGCGCCAGTTGTGTGCACATGTGTGATTACAGCAGCGATAAAAAGTAGTCATTGGTTCATCAGCCGAACGGGTTTGGAGTTGCATGAAAAATGCTCTACCATGTCCACATTTAGGGCAAACTGCATCAGTTGAGTCTACATTTTCCCAGGCAGCAGCACCACCCATAATATAATCGAGTTCCTGAAATAATGTCATGTTGTGGTTAGAAATAATTATTAGCAAGTCAGACAAAGGTATATGAATTCTGTACAGAAACCTTTTTACATCAAAGCAAGTACTTGCTGTACTTACCTTTAATTTCGGAAATGTACGTGATGAAACCTTTTTCCGAATATTGTACACGTAAGGGCACGTGTTACAGGCGTATCGTAAACCACATTCCGGCGCTTCTTCGACCATCAATATATTTGCACATGTTGGACAGAATAACATTCTTCAGGATCAGATTAAAAAATGTCACAATTAATTAAACATTATACATTCATAATCAATCAAATTTCTTTTATGTTAAGGGAGGAGACAAATCCATATTACAATATTAAATAAAATAAAATATCAACAAAAAAGCAACACCACAAGCATGGCATTGGTATGATCACGTGCTAAGCACAGATGACGACATTTCACTTGACTATTAGCATTTGTTATTCGTAAACATAACATCAGTCTATCCGTTTCATGTCATTATCATGGAAAGACTGTTTTCAAAATTACTATTGGTGTCGATTCTGGCATGATTCTCTAAACCTAAACCTTGACCTAAACCTAAATTTGACAACAGTGGTACCAATTCTGGCATGATTCTCTAAACTTAAAACTAAATTTAACATCAGTCTCTCCTTTTCATTCTGTATAGAGAATGACAAGGATATACTGCTGTCAAATTTAAGTTTAGGTTTAGAGAATCATGCCAGAATCGACACCATTGTATCCTTGTCATTTTCTATACAGAATGAAAAAGAGAGACTGATGTTAAATTTAGGGAGTATTCCGAAATATACATCAGTATACTGGCCAGTGGTAATGACGCCACGAATCCGACGCCATATTGTACTGGTATGCTACCATATTTTTACCGGGAAAACGAATATGACGTATGACCGAGTGTGCGTAAGAAGCATTAAAATTTTATTTCCTTTTTAATAATAAAGAACAATAACGGCATCCGAACAAAAAGAATTCCTTCTTATTGATGAGGTGAATAAAGAAGATTTTTTTACCCGCACTATTTACAATATTTCGTCGATTCATGACGTCATCAGCACTGGTCAGTATACTGGTGTATATTACAGAATACACACTTAGTTTTAAGTTTAGAGAACCATGCCAGAATCGACACCATTGTAGTAGCAAATACGAAGAGTCAGGTAAAGTGCCGGCATTAGACATGGAAAAGAGATGAGACATGGATGCGACCATGATGCGACTGATATACCGAAACGTACAGTCTGTCTATAAAGTTATGAAGAAGAAAGGACGTCGCTACCGTCGCTTACATGGTATACTGGTCGAAATGGAGGAATACACGGCCGTAAAACTTTAATTAAAAAAATATGGTATACCCTTTAAACTGCTTTAAACATCGACTAACACGTTTTGATATTTATTAAAAAGTAATACTGTATAATTATATGACTTCCATACATTTCTTTCTTATTATAATCTTAAGATTTTTTTCGGAAACTGCCTGCTACTTTGATTAATTTAACAAAATCTACTAAATTAGGTAAAAAATTAAGATAAATGAATCAAAGGAGAGTTATGCTTAAAAAGCTTAATTATAATAATATCAAAATTTGTCATGCTTTAATTTTGAGGGCCGGGTTAGTAGACACTCAAGCCACTTATAACCGGCGTTTTTTCGGACGCTTACTTAAGGTGGGAAATAAAAAGAAACCTAATTACTATAGTGAATATATTATTATTATTTTTCAGACCCGAAACAATCTAACTAAAATGAATATTCCTGCGTCATGTCTAAGTCATGGCCGAATCTCCGTATTCCATCGAGAAGGAAGAAGGCCTGTGCCCCTGCAATTGCAGTAAGGGTATCAATAGGCGGAAGATGATGGTGATTTCATAGTATTACTTTAAACTCACTTTCATCTACCTATTGTTGTGGTTAAGGATATGTTTATATTTTTGATTCATTAGTAAGCATTATGTCTGAAAATATATATTAAAAAAAAACAAAGTTGGGAATATTTCGTAGGCTCCTAGTTCCCGGATATCAAATTAACAGCTAAGATCTGCTCACATCTCATATCGGCATCTTGAACTTAAAACTAAAACAAACTAAAAAAAAATGAATTTAACTACTAGCAGTGAAAAGCTTAAAATATAAAATATAGGTGTCGATTCTGGCACAATTCTCTAAACTTAAAACTAAATTTAAGATCAGTCTCTCCTTATCATTTTGTATAGATAATGACAAGGATGCACTGTTGTTAGATTTAAGTTTAGGTTTAGAGAATCGACACCATAGTACTGATAATTCTGTTATCGATAAAACTATATAAACAATAAGGTACAGCTCTAAAATATGTAACTTTTCAATGCGAAGTTTAAATACAATTTTATTGGTATATTCATGAATTTAAATCAATAACGCCGTGAAAATTTGTGACGTAAACTCAATAGAAGCCAACGCCACTTTATGTTCAAAAATATTTGCTAAAACATGGCTTCGACTTCCACATGAAATGATAATTCCGAGTTTTTGATTCTTTCTTTTACCATTCTCAATGAACAGAACACAGCTGTACACGGCATTATCATATACTTTTATATAATTTTCTGACGACGACTGACGATTCTGTGTGTAATTTAAATAACAATAGCTTTTTTCGTTTATAACAAAATTTACGTGTTACACCAGAATATTAATGGTTTAATTACAAAATCAGATAATTTGGCAGTATGTTTAGAAGAATTATCTAACAATGGTAAAACACCTGATGTATTATGTATTACAGAACACAACATGATTGAAAGTGATGTACCTAACTTATGTTTTCCCAATTTTCGATTGGCATCGTTTTTCAGTAGAGGTAATAGACACGGAGGTTCTTGCATACTAGTAAGGAATACTCATTTGTATAAAACATTACAAGAAATAAATGAAATGTCTATTCTAAATCTGATAGAATGTTCAGGAGTAGAATTAATAAAACACAACATATTGTGTGTTGTATATGTATTTATAGACCACCAAAAACAATCTCTGTCTCATTAAATATTTTTTTGTCTAGATTAGAGTTAATTATGCGTAATAAGTGCTTAAGAAACAAAAAGATAATATTATGTGGAGATTTCAATATAGATATTTTAAAGCCAACGAAGTACTCTAACGAATTCCGTAATATACTTCTTAGCTTTAATCTTAAAATGGTATTTAATAAACCAACCCGTTATGCTAGTAAAAGTTGCATTGATAACATTGCTCATAATATAAAAGGATGCAAATCAGAAATATTAGAGTTAGCCCTATCTGATCATAACGCACAGCTTTTAATGTGTCCTGTGGCAAAAAGCTGTTCCTTAAAGTTTTGGTTTGTGCTTCGTAGAGATTATTGTGTCGATAATAGAGCCAAATTTAAAGAATGTATCGAAAAATTAAGTTTTAATGAAGTTTATGTATCTGAAAATCCAAATACAGCTTATGACAACTTTTTTGAGACTTTTAAATTATTTTATGATTTATGTTTTCCGATGAAAAAAATTAAAATATCTTCGGCAAACAGACCAAAATGGATAACAAAAGGTATTCGGTTATGTAGCAAAAGGAAAAGGGAAATGCTATGGCAGTTCAGAGCTGACCCGACTAACAATAGAAGAAATAATTTAAAAATTTACGCTAAAAGATTGAGGACAATAATAAAAAAAACACAAAAAATACAAAATGAATTCTATATTAAAAATGCCACAAATAAAGGAAAAGCTACATGGGAAGTTATAAATAATAAAAACACAAAATTTCCGAATGAAAGTGTACACAAAGTTATAGTAAATAGTAAAATAGTATCAAATCCCCAAGACATTGCTGAAAATTTCAATGACCATTTCATTGATGGAGCTAAAGCAAATTGTACTACAAGTAATTTTACATTTGAATCTAGAAGTTTAAATTCTATTTATATGAATTCTACAGCTCCTATTGACATACATAAAATAATACTTTCGTTGAAAAATAAAAAGAGTGTAGGTTATGATGAAATTGCGACAATGGTAGTAAAAGATGTGGCTACTTATATTTCACCAGTGCTAAGCCATATTATTAATAAATGTATAGAATATGGTGTATTTCCAAATACATTGAAAATATCTATTGTAAAGCCGTTATTTAAAAAAGAAGATAAAACTAACATGAATTTTTACAGACCCGTCGCACTATTGCCAATATTTGCAAAAGTTTTTGAGAAAGTTATTTACAACTGCCTTTACCATTTTTTTGAATCAAATAGTATTCTAGTAGATGAACAATATGGGTTTAGACAAAATAAGTCTGTAAATATGGCAATCTATAATTTTCTTTCAAAAGTTACAGGTAATGTTGATAAAAAAATACATACAGCAGCATTGTTTATGGACATGACAAAGGCATTCGATGCAGTTGATCATAAGATCTTATTGCAAAAAATGTACTGTTATGGCGTTAGAGGCAAAATACACGACCTTGTAAAATCGTACCTGATAGGAAGAAAGCAATCAACAGAAATAACTAGAATAGATAGCAAGACAAAGATTGAAAAAGCATATCGATCAAATTTTAGGACTGTTACCCATGGAGTTCCACAAGGAAGCGTACTAGGTTCTTTGTTTTTTCTAGCTTATATTAATGATTTCCCCTCAGTATTGAACCATCAGGTTACTTTATTTGCTGACGATAGTACTGTTGTTTTTGATAACTTTAATTTAATTAATCTTGAAAATGACATAAATAATTCTTTGACATGTATAATTAATTGGCTTAATAATAATAATTTATTAATTAATTTGGACAAAACTAAAATAATGTATTTTAAGCAAAACACTAAAGATTTTGCATTAAATATTAACTATGATGGTAAAAAAATTGGTGAAATACAAGTGACAAAGTTCTTAGGGCTGCTCATAGATTCTAGACTAAAATGGAAATATCATGTTGAACACGTATGTACTAAGCTGAGTCAGTTTTCCTATGCTTTATATAACTTACGGAAAATGGCTAATGAATCGACTTTGTTGACAGCGTATTATGGGAAAGCAGCACCGACATTACGATATGGATTGATATTTTGGGGAAATTCTACTGACGCAACCACTGCATTCAGGGCGCAAAAGAGATGCATCAGAGCTATGTTTAATCTACCACCTACAGAATCATGTGCACCGTTTTTTAAGAGGTTAAAAATATTGACTCTGCCGTGCCTTTACATTTTTGAATGCGCTGTCTTTGTAAAAAGTAATATTAAAATATTTAAGGCCAGAACTCGTGAACGTCATATTAGAAAACTTTGTGTAGTCCCCTGTAATACGGCACTATTTAGGAAAAGTGTGTTTTGCAATGCTCCTTATATTTATAGTAAATTACCCGAAAGTGTGCGAGAAATTACCGTGACCAATATATTTAAAAACAAATTACAACATTTTTTAATAGAAAAATGTTACTATACGGTGCGTGAATTTTTGGAAGACAAAAGTTTTTAGACTAATATAGAAAATGACATGCATGAAATAATTTCAATCATATATTTATCACTTATTGACATTTTTAATTAACTATGTAAAATTTATTAATGTGACATTGAAATAATTAATGTTTTATAGAAATATTATATTGCATGCCGATAAGGCAGAATATGGCTGTACTGTATTAACATGTATCTATGTAACAACTCTGCAACCTGTATTCGCAATAAAGATGATTTGATTTGATTTGATTCTTTTTAATTTCAGAAAACACCACACGGCACCGCAATTTTGTGAGATGCGCTACCATCACTTTATAGTTTGTGGTTGTGAGTATCATATTCGGACACTCATAGGTTATAATTTACACCAATACTCAGCCGATGCTGGCAGGATTCTCTTAACTTAAAACTAAATTTAATATCAATCTGTCCTTTTCATTCTCTATAGAGAATGACAAAGATACACTGTTGTTAAATTTAAGTTTAGCTTTAGAGAATCATGCCAGAATCGACACCATTGTCAAACTTACGTCAACTGAGGCAACTGCTCTTTCACTCATAAGCAGTGTTTCCACAATGAGGGGAAATTCCCCTTTTAAGGGGAAATTAGGGTCCAGAGGGGAAGAAAAAGGGGAAAGACATGAAAAGAAATTGCGGGAAATTATGGGTAAAGCATAGCCTAAAATAATGCGGCACGGAAAAATTATTTATGGACTATAACGTGGACTAGTGTTGCCGTATAAAAGAAACTGAGGCAACACGTGCAGATTTTATATATTTTATTTATCTGTTATAGAATAAGATAGTATAAGACCTTTTTTTCAGTTACTACACTAGTGCCAAATCTAAAAACTACAGCAGAATAATTTTTGAGGGGAAAAATGTCCTAAGGCCGTATACAGAAAGAAAGCCGAAAGCCGATCGGCGCTTATCGGCGCCGATCCTTCCTACATAAAGGAAGCCGATTAAAGCAGATCAAGCAAAATGTCGGACTCATCGGACGATGATTTGGTTTTGTTAGAAAATGTTTATTTAAAAATGCGAAAAACAGCTATACATCCTATAAATAGAGAAAGGAAACGTTTCGGAGAATACCATAATTTATTTGTAAAAAAAAAAAATTTGATGAACAAAGATTTTATACATATACAAGAATGATTCAAGAAACATTTTATTACATTTTGGATTTAGTGAAAAACTGTTTGATGAAAAATTGGGGCAATTGGCATAAACAACCAATCCTTCCAGAAGAAAGACTTGTTGTCACCATTCGATAAGTACGAAACAAATAATTTTAGCGCTTAGTTAATAAAAGATAAAGTTATTAGATTTATAAAAAGATTATAACTTAGATAGATTTAATCTAAGGAAAATAATTCAAATACAAATTATTTATTATTCGGACCAGCGCGAGTCGGCGCTTATCGGCGCTTATCGGCGCCGATCGGCGCCGGTCCATAGAAAAAGGATCAGCGCCTATAGGCGCCGATAAGCGCCGATCGGCGCTGATCGGCGCCGATCAGCTTTCGGCGTTCTTTCTGTATACGGCCTAAGGGTGCGGCCAGAGTGCACTCAGATTCAGAGTCAGATTCAGATTCTGAAAACAAGCGCGAGAAATAAACAGTGTAGTCGAAGGGTACGGCCAGATTGCACTCCTGATTCAGATTCAGGTTCAGACTCAGAAAACAAAGCGCGAGAAAAAGCAAGCAACCTGCTTAGACTACACTGTTTATTTCTCGCGCTTGTTTTCGAAATCTGAATCTGAGTCTGAATCTGAGTGCACTCTGGCCGCACCCTAAGAAGGGGAAATCTGAATTGAGGCATGAGGAAAGGAAATCTTTAAAGTGGAAACACTGCTCATAAGTACACTCTACAGGTTAGACAAAGATGCATTGAAAACAGTTCCAGCCATCATTTCATCTGTCACATTTCTGACTCGTCTATATGATACTATGCCAATGGATCATCCTATTAGTTAGAAGAACATACAAGGCTTCTATTCTATAAGTCTCACTCGTCCCATTTAATAGGTGACAGTTAGACCGTTTTGAGACTAAATTTAATTGTTTTATTTTATTTTTTATATTATTATTTTTGTTGTTGTCTCAAATAAAATTATTTCTTTCTTTCTTTCCAGTTATAAATTTTGTATATATATTTCACCCATTCAAAATCAGCGTCCATGATAGACTTTAACGTAATGCCAGCCTTTTTTCATTTTAATCGAATTAAAACAATTGAATAATTTTGACTATGCATTACACTATTACATAGAGAAGAGAGTTATAATATTTTTTAATCTGTGATCGGCACAGTTCGTTAAAATAGCAGTGAAGTTTCGCTAAGTTTTGTTTTGTCTTTTCAGATTTTTGACATTCCTATTTTATCGGTAGAAGATTTTAGGTGCTTGTGATTTGTTCTGTGTGGTTGTGCTCGATATTTTGGGTGTGTTCATCACAATTTGTTGGTTTGTGACAGTAAATTTAGTGTGAAATATGTTACGTTCCCTATTGGATTCATTTTGGAACGAAGATGTGTGGTTACCGCCGAATACAACTTGGCAAGATATCGCCCCTGGACCTGATAAAGCTGTGGTTTACCCTCAATATTGGGATGTCCTGTACGCAATACCCCTGGCTTTCGTGCTCATAGCGTATAGATACGTGCTGAACAAGTAAGCCAACACACTTTCAGTTAATTTCCAGATGTATGCCAATTCACTGGCAAACTATTACTTTGTTACGCTTGGCAAGTCCGTTTGCCGTTATCATCAATCGAGTGTATTTTAAATATGAATAATAATTATTTTACTTCCGTTAGCCTTATAATTTTCCCCATAGACAGTTTACAGGAAGCATCTTATTAAGATAACAAAAAGTTGTTATATTGTGCATAATTATATTTTTTTAAATAAATCTATTGAATTATGATAATATTAAAATGTTGCTGCTCTGTATGATAATATTTAGTAATAGTATTGTTTAAACTATTATTATCTATTGTTTTAGATATTGGTTCACACCATTTGGTCTGTCACTGGGTATTAAGAATACCAGACCAAAAAAAGCCCCTTACAATCCAAAACTAGAAGCAGCATATCAGCAGACACCTAAAATCAAACATAAGCAGGTAAGATAACATATTTTGTAATTTATCTTGTTTGAAAATTAATATAAATACAAGGTCTAGTTAGTGGGTGATGAACTTTTACTAGAAATGATGAACTGACTATTGAATGTTGATGAACATTTGTATTTATCAATTTTTACAATAATGCCGCAATTACCTTTGGTTTTTAGCCAGTATTCCAGTGCATGAATGTCATTACTTGAATTCGGGCATCAGAAGCAATTTTTACACTGTAATTCGGGCTGGATGATGGTGTCAGGTAAACAAAAGGAAATTTACCCAAATATGGACGTACTCGACTCTGTTCATTTCAACTTAGTTGTTTACCGAATTCCATTGGCACTCATATTAGGGCTAACGATCAAGTGTAATTGCTCCATGATTGATATTATTTTATTTAAGTTATCAATAACAACTTGTCTACAGTTTATTTTAATTAAAAGATGTGGTCATTATATTACCTTAAAGCAAATAAGGATAATAGTAATATTTATTGCAAATCACATACAAATACAAGGTATTTGAGGTAAAAATGGTTTCTTATCAGAATTTGACACCAAAAAGCAAGAAGTGGATATTTATTACGTGAAAAAATTAAGTGCTTAAAAATTTATATTGCATGGAGAATTAGTATCTAAAATAGCCTTATTTCTAAACTCTATTATGTCTATGTTGGAATTGATGTTAGTTTGTGCTAGCATGTTTTATGTCGCTAAACTTTAGTATGTATTAATGTTGTATGAACACCACATAGTTTAGCAGGATAGCTATTTCAATCCCTACAGGAACCAAGAAGTTAATGGTAACTGGAAAAAATACTAGAAGGATAAAAACAAGTTTTTCTGTCAAGTGTGATAAAAAATTATAAAATTGTCAGTAAAATAATTAATATCAATGAAGTCACATGTAATATTGCAAAGACATGGTTTACCAGAAAATTGGATGATACTAAATTATGGACTATTTATGCCATTAGTGTTAAATTGACTGGAGTTATTATTATTTCAAATTAAATAGTGCATATACCTAACTTATAGATATTTATTCAAATATAAAAGCTTTTCTGCATCACACAACAAAAGCTTAAAGAAAGTGGAGCCAAGATTTTTTTACTTTTATTCCTAAACTAACGATTCACTGGGTCTCTATGTTGGATTATGGCCCATTATACAGAGAAGTTCAATAGTGGTCCAGTAACAGTGAAGTAGTACTGTTTTTTCTGTGCTCCTTAAATAACATTGAAAATATTGAAATCTATAACATAATTCAAATTATACTGATCAACTACAACTTCTAACCAGATATTTTGTTTTTTGATGATGTGATCTTTTGATCCAAAGTTAAAAATTTTGTGTTTTTAGAAGCCGTTTTAACATTGCCTGTCAACGCATTTACTGTGCTTTCAAACCAGTAACCGTGCTTGTTTTCATTTCAGTTCATTTTGAGCAAGGATGAGGTAATTTGCGAGCTTTATTATCACTGTATAACCACTTCCGCACAAGTAGATTAGAGAAATCTAGATGCATTATTAATAGAGATTGGTTGTTTATTGTATGTGTAGACTGCTATGACACACACTTGCATGCGAATATGCACTTATCAGTGATAACAGTTTGAATCAATATTCCATTTATTTTTATAATTTAGGTAATTTATGGAATGCAGCTCCTATGTTAGTTTTTGGTGCATATCATATCACACAGTAATTGAAAAATCACTAATTTGAATGTTATTGAAAGTTCCTGTAAACCACCTCAAATTTCTTTTGTCGGTTCTTTCATTGTATTTTCTTAACAAGCTGCTTTAATTCATATCGTTCATGATTCATCACGTCTGTAAAAAAGTATTTTAAATTTTAATGTATTAGCCTAGCATTGTTAATTTTTCGAGTTTACCCAGCACCTGCATCGGAATCTCACAAATGGTATATTTTTCCCCGTTTTTGCAACATTTTTCATCAATGCTCCGCTGCTACTGGTCGTAGCCTGATGTTATTAGCCTATAGCATTCCCCGATAAATGCACTGCCCAAAACAAAAAAAAAAAAATATCGGAACAGCAGAGCAATACAACGGTTCATTCGGTACAACGGGTCCTAAACTATGCATCATTATTTTTACTTGGAATGGAAGTTTTATAATTAGTATTAAGAAAGTCTTTGTGTATAATACAAGCCTTTAGACAAAAACTATAGTCTACACTGCAGCTCTACACCGAAGCGAAGCGAGGGCGGGCCACTAGTACATTCCATTTTCGCCGCGCGATTAGTCGGTTAGCGAATCGTAATCAAATCATTACTCCAATTATTTACACGTTTAAAAGTATAAAAGTAATTCAGTAAGAATAGGTATGTAAAACAGAGGAGAGAGAACATGATGAGCTCGCGTGTTCGGCCTGCGATCGTGGTAGTTAAGCAACTTTCGCAATGGTCGGTCATTGGATGGGTGACCAAAACTTGTAATCTCGAGCTCCTCCGTCCTTCGGAAGGCACGTTAAGCCGTTGGTCCTGGATGCATCTGCAGTCGTTAAGCACACAGCAATCCGCACCGCCAGCGTGGGGACATACTGATATTGCCTTCGATTGAATATTTGCACGGTCGATTTTGTTCACCTGCAGACGATTCGACCACAAATAAATGCCGCACAATGCTCAGTTGTGGAGGTCCACATCAAAACGTAACATTTTCATCTTAAATGATTTAACCGAATTTGAGAAAAACGAATTAATCATCAATGCTTAAAGCAATCTCTATACTCACTATGGGAAAAAAACTTATTAATTCATAGATTAAATTGGGTCAATCAGCATGTGAATATTTATACTTTTATACTCATGAGAATTATTTATAAAAAAAATGTTACGTTTTGGTGCAACTAATTTATTAATGTAAGCGTTTTGGTGAGATCATTGTAAAAAAAATACTTTTTTATTGTGATTACTAACAAATGTCACTTTTTGGTATGAATAAAAAAGACATTTTAATTATTGTATTTTATTATAAAAAGAGAAATATACATATTATTATTATTTATTTTATTGTTAAAACCTAAATTCAGAGGGAACAATATTCTTTAGCGTATTAAATTGTTACGTTTTGGTGCAACTTGTTGATTTCATAGCGCTATATAGTACGAAATTGAACGCGTTATGTTGTAACTTCAATAAAGTTTTCGATAGAATTCAGGAATTCGAACCAATCTGCATACTTAACTTATTTTCTTAACTACATGTGAAATGTTACGTTTTGGTGTGGACCTCCACAGTTGCTTTCATGTGTTTACCCAATTCGTGAAGTGTACTATTTTAACATGAAGGTATTTTACGGAATCATCGAAGAGAGTTGACGAATGCTCAACGCAATATACTCCACAGTTAGGGCTGCCATCTCTAAAATGTAGCAACCAGGATAAGACGCGTGATAACCCCGGATTTTGGAACCCAGAACCCGGACAGACCAATAAAAAAACAGTTAAAAATGTCACAAATCAACTTTTTTTATGTGTAGGCAAAAGAGCTAGCGATCTACCTCATAATAAGTGGTCACTGCTGCCCATGTAAAAAGTTTCAGTGCTGTCATCCACATAGCAACGAATGCTGTTATTGCGGACAGTGTGGGCGACAAAGCTGATCTTTGTTGGAAGTCAGCATTTATAGTTACAATGTTAGAATAGATTTATTTATTTTCAAAAACATTTGGCGACCCAAAACAGGAAATTTTTAAACCCGGACTACAAATGAAACCCCGCCCGGACGCTCCCCGGACGCCCCGTAAACTAGGACAAATCCGGGGAAACCCGGACGGATGGCAGCCCTATCCACAGTCAACTGTGAAGGCATGTCAGATTTACTTAACTATGAAATTGTAATGCCATTGTAGGTAACAAGTTTGTCACTATTTGGACAAACATTAAGATAGCATACATTTAATGATAGCATCTGCAACAGGCACAGCACGACTGTGTGTGCTTAAGAATGGCATGTTATTGAGTGAACTTTCTCCAGAGTGTCTCCATCTGATCTGATAATTATCGCGCCACGACGAAGTGCAAAGATAAACGTGTCGATGAGCTTAATCTTTATCTACCATATGGGTATAGACAGCGTTGCCAGACCCGATTTTTAAATCAAAATTTAATGTCCCGCGCAGGACGGGCTCAAACCCGCTTTTCGGAAATAACACGACCGTGCGTGCAGCGTACTGAGAAAGCGCAGGCTGGTGGCACAGACAAGTGAGGACTGCCTGCCCGGCGCGTAATGAAGATAAATATTCAATATCTTATGATTATATACGTTTTTTTACTATGTCCCGCTTTCGACGAAAGAATCCCGCTTTTTTCACTCAAAAACTTCCTAAATCCAGACTAAGCAAAAAAATCTTGCAACGCTGCTATAGCAGTATGTGTGTGTACTCGTTTATCTTTACACTCTATCCCGATAGAGTTACAAGGAGACAAATATCTTATCGTTCCATCACTATCCCTATTACAATATATATATTCCTTCCCTATAACCTTCCCTTCCATATAAGTAGTAAACTCATTTAACAACCGGTAAACCTCGAGTCGTTCACGTCAATTTCGACCTTGGTCGCAGACGTTTCAATTAGAGAAAATCGATTTTCCATTGTATGGATTTTTCTTTAAAAGCACATTATTAGCCCATTCTGGTAAACAGAGATTTTTTGATTTGTACATTTTGATAGTTAACACTTGCTTGACAGACTTAAAAAAATTCACAAAACGAATTTCATCAAACTCCTCGAAGTAGACAAAAGGTGGCTCCCGCCATTCTTGAAAGTAAATTACCTTAACTTCTTGACTTCTAAGATCTTTGCTACAATTCTCTGGTCGACTGGTAGAGACGCGTGGCATGGTATTCAGTCCGCCATCTTTACAGTCATTTGTGCAGTTCAGTTTCAATAAATTAAATAAATATTTATTTGACAACAGTCGCGAATGTTTTTAAAACGTTGTTTATGCGATTATTTAATGAAGTAATTA